TGGAGGTTACACTTCTTGTGGATCAAATTACAAAGGATGTTTACCTATGAAAATTCCTCATGTAAGGGCTGGCAAGATAGCTCAACAGACTAAGCACCTGCAACAGACTAAGTCCCTGCAGGCAAGTGCAGGGACCAAGGTTCAATCTCCAGCACCACACACCATGCCAGCCCCACCCCCAGGTGGGCTGAGGCAGCCACCAAGACCAGATGTGATGGTGCAGGCCTGTAATCCCAGCCCTGGGGAGGCTGCAAATAGGAGGATCACTACGAGTCTGAGCTGTGTAGTGAGACCCTGTACCAAATACATTTTAAAAAAGAAGACAATTCCTCATGTAAGTCCTAATTTATTAATGAAATCTGAAGGTCTATTTTGTGGTCAGTTATCCACTTGAAAATTCCATTTCGTATGAATAAGTGTGGGGGCCAGGATCTAGCTCAGTGGCACAGGGCCTGCCTGGCAAGCATGAGGTCCTGAGTTTGATTCCCAGTACCAAAAAAACAAAAACAAACACACAAAAATAAATGAATAACTGTGGGTATCTGGGCAGGTAACTTAAGTTCTTGACTCTCAATTTTTTTCAGTTTATTTCAAGAATTATGTGTATTACAGAAATATCATAAAAATAAGTAAGAAAATGTACAAAAAGCATAATTCTTCTCAATATTATTTCCCTGGTCATTAAAAAACGAAACAAAAAGTCATCGCTACCATCAGTTCAATAGCATTCGGGAAAAACAAAACCAAAAAAAAGTGAAAGAGAGAAAACAAACACAAAAAGCAGCTACAAAATAAAGAAACATTCGTTACGAATTTTATTACTCCAACTGCTGTAAACTGTGTAGGAATCAGAGCCGCAAAGCTGCCCATTCAACTGTCTGTTCTTTCCTGTTTAAACAAGGCCCCTCTGGGGTCATGGCAGCCTGGGCCTGCGTGGCTCTGCATCCAGGAAGGAAGACGTTTCTACGGTAACCACAGTGGCCTTCTCTGGAGGATCTCTGGGAGAGGCCAGGCCCCGGTGCAAGTAACAAACCCCAGTTCCCTTGATGGTGTACAGAAAGGTAGCAGCCATGGTGTCCAGCAAGAGCAAAATAGGAGCATTCAGGCGTGAAATCCCTTTCAATCAGTCGCTTGTTCCCCCAGATGGTGAATTCTCTTTGTACCACTCTTGAAAAATGGCCAATCTATGCTCAGTGGTGTATAAATAATAAATGTTCCAGAAGGAGGGAGATGTTTTATGATTTGGGGAGGGGGGGCGCCTAGCATGCTGTCATCACTTGGTTCAAGTTTTGAGAAGGCTTGAAGTTGCAGGAAATCATAGGGAAGAGCCTGGTAAGTTCACTTGATAAACTATTTCATAATCTGCACACCCATGTCCGGTCAGGAGCAAGGGGTGGAGAGAGAAGACGGGCCACAGTCACAGAGCGAGGTGGTTGGTATCAAAACATAACCTAAGCTCCTGGCACATAAAGCTTGAATTGTATGATTTTGACTGTGGCCTCAGAGTGTAGTAATTGCTCTCCTGGACAGCTGTACAAGAAGCAGTGGAAATATTAAAGAGGTCTATCTGAGGCCACCAATTAGAAAGAAGAGACAGAGTTTAAGCTGAGAATCAAGAATGGGTAAAGAATTTATTGAACGGTGCAGTGTTGCAGGGTACTTTGTGTGCACTGTATCTCAGTCAGTCTTCCCAAGCATTCTCTGGGATGAGGACCAATCCTGGCCACCTTTCTCTGAAGGAGGAATTGCTCAGGGAGCTTACTTTTCCACTTGCTAGTAGGTGACAAGTCCACAATTAAACCAGGTCCATTTGGCTCAGCACATGATGAGCTTTGTTCACTACTAATTCACTGCCTTCCATAAATAAATGCCAGAGTCTGTCATGTAGGGGAAGTTGGGGAGTGTTCTGGGCAGAAAAGCATTGCAAAGAAAGGCAGAGAGATTCAGTGTGTGCTACATCCATTTGGCTCCTGCTTATTCTTAGTGAAACCCACAAGAGCACACAGATTGTCATGGGCTCAGGACATCTTGGCACTGCTCTTGAACCTTGAGAATGACTCTGTCCAGAGTGGGACACTATGTGACTTGACAACACTAAAATCCCTCACACCATTGGTGGCCTGAATGTATCCCCTGTATCCTTCTGGAACGTGGAGTAGTAAAGTCTATAATAAACCATTCTGTCTTTTACAACTCACTTTTACAGCCCATGGGTTTCTGGAGGCTCTAATCGTGTGTACGTTTCCCTCTCTTTTGGACACACAGAGTATAAAGAATTTCCATCTCAGCTTCTTTCCATGGGGACACGTTGACCCTAGGTGCATACAGCCAAATGGTTCCAGTTCAGTGAATAGTCTTTCATGGAAAAACCATGGTTGAAGTTGATGGAAAAATTGCCTGCCCATGAGGAAGCCACAAGAGTCCATGCCAAACAGAGTGAAAAATGAAAAAGGTCATCCAGAGGTCAAGGCCAAAGTGGCCACATATGGATAGAGACTCTCCAGGATATAGCCGCTATAGTTATGTGCTGGCTCATAAAAGGGGAGAGAAGTAAGGAAAGGAGATGGAAAGGGAGCTAACAAAGCTCACATCTTGGCCATTTTGTGAAGAGATAGAGACAGTGGTTGCTGCCATGTTGCTGACCTCGAGCAGCAGTCAACTCCACGTAGAACTTGGGAGCAAGAGATTCAGAATCGAATCTCTTCTCTCATCCCTCTCCTGGCTTTTGTCACCGTCAGCACTTTATCTTCAAACACGATGGCTAGCAATGTTACCAACAAGACAGATCCTCACTCCATGAGTTCCTGTGTGTTCCTTGGGAATCTGAACATGCTTGTGATGAAGAAATCTGATGTGGAGGCCATCTTCTCAAAGTATGGTAAAAGTGTGCATTGCTCTGTTCATAAGGGCTTTGCCTTTGTCTAGTATGCTTATGCAAGAAACGCCCAGGTTGTTGTAGCTGGAGAGGATGGCAGAATGATTGCTGGCCAGGTTTTAGACATTAATCTGGTTGCAGAGCCAAAAGTGAGCAGAGGAAAAGCAGGGGTGAAATGATCTGCAGCAGATCATTACTGTATGGATGATGACAAAGAGGCTGAGGAAGGAGAGGAGACAGTGCCAATAGCAAGGATGACTCTTAAGCACATAGTTTGGTTTAGAAGTCTTGTCCCATTATTTCTTTATCTAGGCACTTGTCTAAGATCAAAATTTCACCAGATCTTCTCCCCTACTATCTTCAGCACATGTTCACTGTCCTCCTTGTGTCCTACCATCCTCATAATTGTCCTGTACCTAGGACCATTTTCACTTCCTTTGATGCTCCTAGTGGTTTTCTTAAGTCTTCTGTAATTTTTGCTTTTTAATTTTGATACCTCTTTATGACTTAACAATAAAAAGTTTGTATGGTTTTTTATCAACTGTCTACACAATAATCTCTCATTTTGCAGGTAGTATAGTTATTTTCATTTATACATCATTTCAGTCATTGCTTTCCTAACTGCAAAGGCAATCTCATTGAGCATAGCATCTAAAAGCAACTTTGTTTGACTTAAGAGTTATGTGTATCACCCCACATCAAGTACTTTGTGGGGCTGTTAGACACAAATGTAGCAATGTATTTTTGTGAATCAGAGCATGTCAAATGCATCCTCTAAAAATTAGTGTAATAGTCTTTGTTTTCTAAAGTTGATACTGTGGATTTTTGTGTGTGTGTGTGAATGCCTAATGTTTGGGCTCTTTTTTCTCAAAATAAACAAGTCCTTATTAAACAAGGAATTTGGAGGGGAAAAAAGCTCACATCTTATAATACCATGTCATATCCTCACTCTGATCCCTGTTTGACATTGTATAAGGGAAAAGTCAAGTATCAGAAATTTTACAGTGTCTATAGACCATTTATATGGCACAAGTGGTGAAACCAGGACCTCTATACAGAACTCTCTGACCCTAAGTCTCCAGTATCTCCATGTCACTTCATTTTTTAAAAATTAATTTTATTGACAGAGAAATAGCAATGAGACAGTTTCAAAACAGGTTAGTAGGACAGTTATAGTAATTAATACATTGCATATTTTTATCTTCATAGTAATTATTCATAGTACAAGATGCAAGTATGATATCTTGTCTAAACACTATTAGTACAAATCTTTTTCTTCACTGAGCTAAGAGACAGTAGCTATATCTATCCTAACTATTTTGTATATACAGATACATATTTTTTTCACCACAAAATGGTCTTTCATTTATGACCCCCTTTTTTGTTTAGTTTTGTCAGAGACGAGTATTCCATTACCATCCAAATATTGTAGGGTCATGAATTCAGCAAAATAATCCAATATAGTCCAGTAGTCCATAACAGTAGTGGGTTATCCACAGAACTGGCAATGTCAGAAGTTGTTGACTTGAGACTTTTACAGCTCAGCACATTAATATGGCTTTACTTTTTATATCTCGTGTTTATACTTTTCTGCAGGATGGTTAAGACCAAGATAAAGCAAGACTTATGTAACAAAAAGTATAACTTTTGTATCTGACAAGTTCAGTCAAATCCCCTTAGGATTTACCTTGAAACCATGTACAGCAGTTCGTAGATCTTTTGTCAGTGTCAGCCATGTAGATGAGTCACAGCCATTGCTTGAACAATTTGCTCTCTGTGAAAGCCAGAGCGAATGTTTTCTCTCTGAGTGACTCTGCTTAGGCACACTCTACATCATCAATCACTTTCCTCTGTGACCCCATAATCTCCTTGATCAGAAAATTTGGGACACCACTGAGTAGCAGGATGTTACAATACAATTACAATACAGGTTCTCTTATGTCCTGAGTCCTCACTGACCTTGAAGGGCTAGGGCCAAAATGTTGGCTGTCCCTGTAGCCCTTCTTTTTCTCTAATTTTTTGGTCTGCAAACTTAAGTTGTTAACCCTCTGGAAGAGAAGCTTAATGATATTATTACCCTATAACATAGGCAGCTGAGCTTAGCATTGCTATCTGTATGAATATCGAAAAACAAGGGTTAGATGCCAAGAAGTAGGTGGCGATGTCTTAACCATGCATGTTGTCAGGCCCAAGGACCTCTTCCATCCTTGTCAAGGAGAGTGCTAACCTTCATTCCTTTCACACAACATTCCATGTCACTTAAAAATGGTCAATCTAATGATCAGTTGGATTTAAAATTTCGCCACTATTTTGTCATGAGTTCCTGTGAAGTTTATTGGCTTTTTAGCTTATGTTTTGGCAGATTGGGATAGTACACTGGGAGTTTTCTCTGAGCCCTATGTCTATGATAGTTCCAGAGAAGTCAGAAATTCTTTTGTTCCATAAATTAGTTAGTCACACAATTAACATGTTCAAGTGCCAACTCTGGCAAGGCATGATGCTGAAGAAGGGGGTGAGCAAAAGGTGAAACCACCCCTCAGAAACATTCTCACTTGGTAGCCCCAGGGAGTGACAAGGTTGGAGAAGTAGGCGCTTGTAGTACCATTGAAGTCAGAAATGGTTTCTGCAAGAAATGATAATTAGCACATTAATGAAACATAGGACCAGTATGGTCATGAATTGTGCTATGTCAACCTGACCTGAGTAAGAACTACCCAGGTGGGCCTATGGATGATTGACATGTAAGCCAGCGAATGGAAGGAGAAAGACCCAAGCCAGGTGTGGATGGCTCATAGACTCCATATGATGGGTCATAGAATGAAAAGGGAAAGAAGAAGGAAGTGTTTTCTTTTAGGAAGAGCTTCAGTCTTTGCCATCATCTTTGGACATTGGTCTCCAGTGTCAGCTTTCTATGAGAGACTCACACTGGTGACTCCACAGTGAGCTTCTAGAGCATACAGAATCCTCAGGGTCTCAACACACAAGTAGCCATTTTGCATTCTTCTGTTCCTGAACTCACAGTGGCCATTGTGACTCTTCTGCGTCAAATCCTGTAAGCCTACGTAATGGATCCCTTTGTTTAAATACACATAGTCTTGTATTGAGTCTTCTCCTACAGAGAACAGTAATATAATTAGGATAATAGTTGGGGTAAGGGAAGGTTAGTGGGGGTGGAGATGTGACTGGGAAAGGGGTGTAAAGAAGACAAAAAATATATTCTTCAGTTGTGTGACAGAGTAAGACACAAAGTTACAGAAACGGAGAAAAAAGGCTGCTTACCTAACCTGGGGTGCAGGGTTGTCAAAAAAGAAGTGATATTTGAGCTGGGCACTGAAGCATGCACAAGAACTCGATGGGTGGATGAGAAATTGCTTGATTGTGTACACAGAAGAAAGAGAATGTGAAAAGATTCAGAAATGAGAGACAGCATCATCTGTCTGGGGAACTTCAGCATTTGCTTATGCTAAAGAGAAGGAGAGGAGAGGGACAAGAGGGAATGAGTTATCAAAGACATCGGAAGTAGTGTCATGCAATACTACTACTGAGAGACATTACTGAATCTAGGCATGAGTGAGTGGCAGATTGGCTCTGATATGAATGTTAACAAGGCAGATGGCTGCATCATGAAAGAACAGAAAAAGAAAGGAAACTGAGTTAATTGTTTAATGAGTACCTACCGAGTGCCAGAAAATTTAGGTATAACTCCATCCTGCAGATGGGAAAAATTAGGTACACAAAGGGGAAGGAATCTGGCAAGTCACAGAGCTAATTGGCAGTGACCAGAATTCCAACTCTTCTTCCTGACTTCTGGAATCCTCCTGCACCTCTGCCTCCAAGGACTTTCTAGTACCACCTGAATGTGACCCAAGTAGGCAAACCAATGTCATGAACAGTAATTACGTTAATGATGACCCTCATAGATCAATGACAAAAGTTTAACTTCAACTTCAGAATTGACCTAAGCAATGAAGAAAATGCTTAATTTCTCATTCAGTATGCAAAAGATTGAACCTAGACCTACTTCTCTTACCATGTAAAAATTCAAATCAAAATGAGTCAAAGATCCAAATGTTAATGCAGAAGCATCGAACTTGCTAGAAGATAAAGTAGGCTAAACTCTTCAATTCATAGGACAGGTAAGGACTTTCTGAGCAGATCACAAGTTGCACAAGACATAGCACCAAAAGTCAACTAACAAGGTCATATCAGATTAAAAGTCTGCACAATATGGGAAAAACAGTAAAGAAACAATTTACAAAATGGAGGGAAAATGACAGTCACCAAGAAAGGACTAATGTCTACAATATAAAAAGATCTCAAAAAATTAGATATCCCCAAAAGACCTATTAAGGTCCATATATAGAGACCCCCACACAAAGCCTCATGCAGTGATGGGAGTGCTTTTTAGAGGTGGCTGAATCCAGAATGTGTGGTGCTGGTATTAAGGGCATATGACTGGCAGCTCGGTCCTCTGGTTGGTTTGCTATAGTTCTGGCTAGGATGTAAGATGTGAGTGCTGCACCCACCCAAGGGTGGTCAACTTGCATAAAATACAAGGGCAGAATGACGGCTGATGTGCTTCTGCCTGCCTGCTTACCTCTTCTCTGTGATTCCCCCCTGCCATTCTATGCTGCCTTGGAGCCAGCTGACTGTGGACTGAAATTTCCTTAAATTATGAGGTAAATAAAACTTTTCTCTTTTCCCTTCAGGGCATAAAACCAAATTACAACAACCTAGCCCATACTTTTCTACTGTAAATTTATGCTTTAGCATAATAGCCACTGGCTGGGTGTCTCAGTCACTATGTGTGGGGGATACAGGAAACTGACTTTGTGTTTACCTACTTGGTGTGATGACTGACAAGGTGTGTGCCTGTGTGCAAAAGTGTCAGTCTGGGATTCTTTATTCACATAATGTTCCATCTAGTAAGTTTTATAAATATTTACCTGAGCATTACAGGGAGTAAAATATATCCACAATACTCTTATATTCTGTTAACAGGCATTTTACCATAAGTGAAGTTGGATGTGACTCCCAGTAGCTGTTCTCAGGGAAAGCAAAAGCCCATCTGTGCATTCATCCACTTGGCAGATGAATGATAAGGCATGTACCAGAAATCCAAAGCAGCAGCAGATGAGTTTTACCTTACCACTCATGAAATGCTCAGACTAAATTTCTGTGCATTTTAGATTTTTTTTAAGTTTTATTTTTATTTTTCTGGTAGAAGTAGCCCAGTTCATTATAATGGCACATGAAAAGCCAGATTTGCAAGTTTTGAAAGAAGTTGAATGTGAATTATCAGATCATTCATGCAGAAATGATAAAGATGATAATAACTTTGACATTGGCCACATGAGTCAAAGTTCCTGTGACAACAAAATAGAGCAAGAATCAACCAATGCAGAGAATGCAGACCACATTATATCAGATGACAGGCCTGGTCAAATAACTCAGAGGATTAAGGAGTCTGCAAGTAGGTGCAGGGGCTAGGGGTTTGATCCCCGGGCCAGCTATGCTGGCCCCGCCCCCAGGGCGCACTGAGATGGCAATTGAGACTGGGCACAGTGGTGTGCACATTTAGGAGGCTGTAAACAAGCAGATCACTATGAGTTAATCCAGTAGTGAGATCCTGAACATCCTGTAGACCTTTTCATAAAAATACAAACATAAATAAATAAAAAATTCAGACGACAAAGTAAACATCAATGTGAGAATGTATTTGACTAGTACAAATGGTACAAACTGGTCATGCAACCAAATATTATGATCCAAAGTTAGAATTAGGTCTGAAAATAAAATGTGTATCTTTTATTTTATTTTATTATTAATTTTATTGAGAAACAAATAGCAATGAGACAGTTTCAAAACCAATTGGTAGGACAGTTTCAATAATCAATACATTGCATATTGTTGTCTTCATAGTATTCATAGTACAAGATGCAGATATGATATCCTGTCTGAACATTACTAGTACAAATCTTTCTTCTCACTGAATTAAGAGAAAGTAGCTATATACCTATCCTAACTATTTTGTATATACAGATTTTTTTTTTCACTACAAAATGGTCTTTCATTTATAACCCCCTTTTTTGTTTAGTTTTGTTGGACATGGGTATTCCATTGTCATTGCCATTCAGTGTTGGAATTTGTAATAGATTAAATACTAGAAAATGTTGCAAAATACATAAATGCTGAAATACTAGTAAAATGCTCTCTCTGCAGCAATAGTCATATTAAAAAATATATTTGTTATGACACATCACTAGTTGAACTGAAAGCATTCATAGGCCTACTATACTTAGCAGGGCTTTCTCATAGTAATTGCAGGAATGTAAAAACCTCATGGAAAAGCAGTGGGTGTGGGCTTGAGGTTTGTAGAATTTTTTTTAATTAATTTTTTTTGATACAGGGTCTCACTAAACAGTTCAAACTAATAATGATCCTCCAGCCTCAACTTCCCCAGTGCTGATTACAGGTGTGAACCACCACACTCAGTTTCAGGGCTGGCATGGCATGTGGTACTGGGAATTACACTCAGGACCTTGTACATGCCAGGCAAGCACTTAGACCACTGAGCTATCTCCCCAGCCTGAGTTTTGTAGAATAAGGATGACCCCTGAGGCAGTTTGGTTTTCTTCAGATTTGCCTGAAGTTTGATGATAAAACCATTCACCAAGAGAGAAAAATAAGTACAAGGGCCTGAGTTCAATCCCCGGTTCCAAAAAAAAAAAAAGGAAAGAAGAAAGAAAGAAAGAAAGAAAGAAAGAAAGAAAGAAAGAAAGAAAGAAAGAAAGAAAGAAAGGAAGGAAGGAAAGTGATAATCTGGTTTCTCTAAACATTCATGGTGTGAGAGATTTGGGGTAATTGTCAAACAATTTGCACACCATCTGAATAAATGACTATTGATGAACATCTTGCAGCACTTATGGTTATTGTGGTTTCAGACAGTATATTCTCAAAAAAACTTTTAAAATACAGCATTAAAAACTTATGCCCTTAGGCTTGGCCAGATAGCTCAGCAGACTAAAGTGCCTGCTTAGGCAGAACACAGAGATTGGGGTTTGATCTCCAGCACCACTAGCCATGCTGGCCCTGCCCCCACGTCTTGCTGAGAAAACAATTGAGACTGGGCGTGGTAGCACATGCCTGTAATCCCAGCACTTGGAAGGCTGAAAACAGGAAGATCACTACAAGTCTGATCTATGTAGTGAGATCCTGTAGACCATGTAGTAAATACATAAAAAAGAAA